AACTTTAGCTGTAGCGGGTATTGAAGGGCTATCCTTCGAGGGTACGTGCTTCGCTTGTTACGAGCAGCAGCCCCGTACGAGGCTGAGCAGAAAAAAAATAAACCGCTCTTACAATTCAATTTCTCACTTCCTTTACTTTACGCGCATCTAACTCACAGGTAAGGTAAAATAGTCGGGAGTTCTCGATTACAAAGCCTCTTCACCCTTCGGAGAAATTGCAATAGCTAGCGGTGTCTGGTTAGTACTCGCCCACTCCCGGTTACTTATCGAACGTAGCTTTGCTACTGCCTTTTATTTCAGGTAAGGAATTAAAGAATATGTACTACTTTAATAAAGACCAAACTCCAAACACCTAACCAGCCCTGCGCCTTCGGAGGAAAGGTATGCAGCACTGCTCGCGCTTCTCTGCTAAGGCAGACTGCGCTCCAGCGAAGCTGAGCACGCAGGCTGCACTGCGGCCCGCAGCACTGCGGCCGCAGGGGTCTATGATGGCCACCCCCGCCAGCTTCGCTGGAGCGCAGTCTGCCTTAGCAGAGAAGCGCGAGCAGTGCTGCATACCTTTCCTCCGAAGGCGCAGGGCTGGTTAGGTGTTTGGAGTTTGGTCTTTATTAAAGTAGTACATATTCTTTAATTCCTTACCTGAAATAAAAGGCAGTAGCAAAGCTACGTTCGATAAGTAACCGGGAGTGGGCGAGTACTAACCAGACACCGCTAGCTATTGCAATTTCTCCGAAGGGTGAAGAGGCTTTGTAATCGAGAACTCCCGACTATTTTACCTTACCTGTGAGTTAGATGCGCGTAAAGTAAAGGAAGTGAGAAATTGAATTGTAAGAGCGGTTTTTTTTTTTTCTGCTCAGCCTCGTACGGGGCTGCTGCTCGTAACAAGCGAAGCACGTACCCTCGAAGGATAGCCCTTCAATACCCGCTACAGCTAAAGTTATGGGAGGTTCCTCCTAAGGACGCTAAAGCAGTACTGCTTTAGCAGCTTCGCAGTCGCGAACCGTGGACTGCTTTAGCTGCACAGCACTGAATTAGCTCCTCGGTAGCCTGTGGGCTATTGCTCGGGCAACTTAGCTTCCCTGACGAGGGTTTAGCAGCTGATACAAAACCAGCTAAGAGGGTCGAAAAAAAAAAAGGAACTAGTTTATTATCTCTTATGCTATTCTTTTTAAATACTTTTACTTTGCTGCAGGGCTAAAAAAAAACAGAGCAGCAGGCGAAGCTGCAGGGCGCAGGAGCGAAGCGCGACGAGAGAAGAGTGGAGAGCAGAGAGAAACAAGTCAAGGTTTTATCATTTAACCTATCTTTAATTTTTTTAAATTAGTCTCCAACCTTATCCCCATTGCTAGCGATCATACTGACTGCCTCTGAAACATAAGGCTTAGGAGGCTAAACCAGCACAGATCCGCAAGCCAACCGACGCAGCGCCCCTGCGGCGCTCCGCAGGGGCGCTGCTGTCCGCAGGAGCAGAGCACTGCGCAGAAGCGATGTGGTAAAGCAGACTGCGCTCCGACTGCGGTACTCCACCGAGGGAGGAGGGGTGAGCGGAGGGAGGGTGAAGCAGCGTGCTGTCCGCTGGATCCTAAAGCAACGCGAGGAGCGCGGCCTCCGGAGCAGAGTATTCGCGTAGCGCGCGTAGCTCGAGCTCCCCTTGAAACCTGCTCTCAACACTCTGTAGTAGTCCAGACTCGGCCCAGCAGGGAGCAAGTAGAATTAGATTGCCTACATAGCTTTGCAATAACAAATATAAATTATAACTAGAAGCTATAAATACGAAAAGTATGCTGCGCTAATCTCAGATTGGGTAGTAAGTTGATCGGTTTGAATGTTTGTTTTTTTTTTAGTCATCTTAATTTACGAGTTTATATGAGGAGTTAACAAACTATAAATATAAACGTTCCGCTCGCTACGTGCAGCAGCCCGCCGCAGACTTTTGTATTCAAGGGTAGCAAGCTACCCTAACTTTACATTACCTAGCCTTGGCTGCTAGTCATGCTGCAACGAAGGTGTACTAAAGTAAGAAACAGTTATTTTTATTTTTAGAAAGGGAAGAGATAAATAAACAATTTTTTTATATAATCTACACACGCTCCGCTCGCCGGCCTGCCCTGAGAAGGCCGGGCCGCGCGCCTGCGAAGAGTCGTAACCTGCGCCTCACGCTTCGCGACCGAGGGTGGCCTATAAGGGGGGGAGCTTCTCCCGATTCATTGCTTTAGGATCCTCCCTGCTTTGTAATATCTACTCTCCTTCCTATTCTCGCGCTTCGCTCCCTTCGGGCCGCAGCACTGCGCCCTGCTTTAGGATTATTTGTGGAGATTTTAAATACCTTTTTTTTAGTAGCGCGCCTGATTTGCGCTTCGCTCCTGCGGCCAGCAGGTACGGAGCGTACCACTCCACATATCGAGATAGGACTACCCAGTACCGCAGGTGGCGAGCGTGAAGCGTGAAGCATAAATATATTTTTTTATATAAATTTTAAATTTTATTTAAGTAGATGAAAAAAAAATTTTTAAATTTTTTTTAATGGGTATTTTTCACCCCAGCTCTGCTAAGCGGAGAGCTTTGTGATCCTCCTCATTAAGTTAAAGCACGCGGGGTACACACAAGCAAGGGACCCGCATGCGGGTAACCCGACCATTAGAGAGGTAGCGGGTGCGCAAGCAGAATGCTGTGGGATATTAATATAATATTTGCAGGTTTTAAAAAAGATACTACTCCGCAACCCGGCGAAGCAGAGTGGCTAGGTAAAAGATAGTATAGCTTATAACTTATATATTTATAAGTTATAATTTATAACTTATTGCTGCTCATATCTGAAAAAAGAAAAATTAATATAGTAACCTATAAGTTTAAACTGGAGCACGTTAACAACAGTCCTTTTTTATATTAAGTATAAGTAAATATTTAAGTACGGCCAATTTGGCCCGTATTTGTGATTACCAACTTTAAGGTTAAAACAAAGATGCGTACCTGCAATGCAGCTGCCTCGATCCACTTTATTAAATAAGATACTATTACAAAACAGCTACCTTACTGTATAAAAAAAGGAGACCACTCTGCTTTAACGATTTAACGCTGTTTTAGCACTGCTAAAGCAGCTAAGGACCAGTAGTCAGCAGGAGCGCTGTTACGGAGAAGCTCCTGTCAAACTTTTTAGACTATCTTTTACAAAACAAAGCGAAGCACGAAGGAGCAACAGGGCCTCGCAGAGCTTTGTTTTTACACTGAATACACAGCTGAGACAGAAAAAAAATAGTTTAACAAAAAAAAATAATAAATCACCCCCTCTGGTCGGAGGGTTTAGAGTGCCGCCCTGCTTCGCAGGATAGTCAATTTTGAAAAGACATAGCCAGCCTTGCGCCTGCGGATGCGGGCGCAGGCGCAGGCGTTGCGCTGGATGCGACCCGCGCTTCGCTCCACCACTTCGCAAGGGCTGGCGACTACAGCCCTCCGCGACTGCGCTGCTCTCCTGCTTCGCAGACCGAAGGAGCAAGCAAGGTCGGATTGGTCGGGTTACATTCCTCGAGACGGGTAGGTCGTAGGAGTGAAGCTCAGCAGCGCGCAGCGACCCCTACGTAGACTCTGAAGGGAGCAGGTGGCGAGGGTTGTAGTTGCGGAGCGCGAGCCACGTGAAGAAATAGAGGTTAAAGTAATCGAAACTTTCTCTTTGTTGTGTAAAAACAACGCTAAGCCACTCAGCTAAACCTCTTTTTATTACTTCTTCTTTTATTTTATATTTTTTTATTACTTCTTTTATATATATTTTTTTTGTCTCCGACACCACAGCCTGGCGTAGCGCGGCGCAGGGCGCCGCCCCCTTCTGCGAAGTCGCGACTGCTTTAGCCACGCTGCGCCTCCGGCGTTCGCATGCTAAAGCAGTAGCTGGACTATTTTAACACTGCTGCGGAGTAAATGTCAATCGGGATTGTGATTGATTTTTGTAGCCTTCCAATTAAATTATCTGCACTGCAGGGTAGTTAAGAAGAAACAATGTAGCAGTACGACTCGCGTTTCGCTCGCTCCGCGCTTGCGGACCGCAGGCGCGCTGCGGGGCCATTGTACTGGAGAAATTTAAAGGCCAAGAAGTACAGCAGTATCCAGCTCCCTATTGTTACGCTTACGCAAGGTTTAAATTTTTGTGTATCGTAGCTGACAGTGGCAGCGGTCATACACAAAAATTAAATATTATTTAATTTTTTTATCTATTTGCCGGCTAGTCCTTTCCTTGCGAAACTGGAGTGCAACGCTGCACAGCTGCGCTGACGAATGAAGAACCCAGTTTTATTTTTTCATTTCCTACTCCAGCTTCGCTCGCTACGCGCTGCAGGGTTAACTTCATTTAGTTCTCCACGCCCCGCTCCGCTGCTTTGCTACGCAGGACCTACGCGCAGGCGGACGGCTGCGTACTGTGATCGGCCAACGGAGCGCGCGGAGCGCGGCGCTCCCCCCCCCCCCCCCCCCCCCTCTTCGAGGGGAAGCAGAGCAGCGACTCCCTCCCTTAAGGGCAGGGGGGAGGGGCGGACTGTTTTAGCTTCCTTCGGCCGGCAAACCTGAGAACCTTGAAGGGGGGTGACTACAGGGGGGGGGAGACAAGCGGGGAACCCGGCTTCTACCTTATCTGCTTTAGCATCCTTCGAAGCAAGCCCTTCTAGCCTTTTCGTTCTTTTGTTATTTCTTCTCTAAGTGGAATGCTGTGCTCTGGTTTCGCCTATTTTATACCGAACCTCCTAGTCTCCTCTTCTACGGTAACGGGATATCCTTAACTACCTCGTGAACAGTTTAGCCCGAAGGACTGCTTAGCACCGCTCGCATAATGAAAAGCTAACGAGCGTAATCACTCAGAATTAATAGCTTTTACCCTTACTGCTTTAGCATTCGCAAAGGTTCGGTCGCAATCCGTGGGCGCGAAGCGCGAGGTACTATGCAGCTTAAGCAGTGCTGTGCTCGGGTCGCAATTTTTTTTTTCTTAATTTTTGCCAACAATTGCATTACTTTCTTTAATTTAATTGTGTTCATTTAGCCTGTATATTCTTTAATTTGTAAGTGTCAAGTAAGATTAGCGTTAGTTACGCAGTCTGTTGAAGACTAGTTTTTAGAGTGACGTAAATTAGAAAGCTCGCCGACGTCTCGAGAACTTCGTAATCTCCCCACTCTACTCTCCGCAGGCCGCATCCTGCTTCAACATTACCACAAGACTCCCTCCCCTTTAAGGGAGTATGCTAAAGCAGTCGCCTGCGGAGCGAAGCTGGCGCGCGGGATGCTCGGACCCTTTCCCCCCAGAGGAGCGTTGCTGCTATGCTTATGTTTTAGCAACCTGCGGACCGAAGGGGAAGGCGCTGCGCCCCCCTGCGGAGCGGCCCTTGCGGAGCCTGCGGAGGGCCTTGCACACACTCCGCTGGGGGGGCGATCTCTACAGCCACTCCTGCGGAGTAAAGCGCGAGAGCGTGAACCTCGCAAAGCGCGGGCATGAAACCTTGTACAGGTTCTCTAGAACCAACACTTATTAGGAGAAGCGAAATAAAGACAAGCAGTAGCAATAAATATAAAATATTTCCTTTTTTACCTTGTCCAGGACTTGAACCTGTATTAACAGCTCATGAGACTGGTGTGCTACCAATTACACTACCAAGGCCAATAAAAAATTTTAGTAATATAAAATTAATTAGCCACCCCTGCTTTGCTGCCGAAGGATCAACCCTCGCGCACCCCTTCTGTTGGGGGCTTCGCACCCCCCCCCCCCGCGACTGCTTTAGCATACTGCTTTAGTAGGCTTACCGTCCACTTAGTGGAAGCCTGCTGCGCCTCTAAAGGGGACCCGAGGGAAGGCGGCTGGGTCTTCCTTGTTTTTTCTGTTAGGGTACAGTGGTGTCGCCTAACAAACTCAAGTGAGGATTCACTAAACACAACATCTGGAGAACCCTTCTAAATCACCAGGTAACGTAGTCTTACGTGTCTCCCTCTTGCCTTATTCATTTACGTGAAGTCACCTATCTGCGGAGCGGTCTTACGTGGAAGGGCGGTCCACCTGCATGCAGCCTTGCGGACCGTACGTGCTCCAGCGGACTGCAGCTATACACCCCCACTATGCTGCAGAGGGCTTCCCTTTAGCTTCCTAAACCTGTCCCGCGCTTAGGTACGCAGGAAAAGCAGGACGAGTAGTGCGGAGCCTGACCTATATAGCAGGCGCTCCTGCCTAATTAAACACAGTTACGTAGAAGGAGGGTTGCGCAAGACAGCCCTCCCTGCTTCGCCACCCTGCGCTACCCTCCTGCACCCCCGGTGGAGCAGCGAAGCGCGCGGAGCGGTGGTTCTTTAGCGGCGCAGCCCCGCTTTACCTTGCAGTCGCAAAGCACGCCAGCGGTTGCAGCGAAACTCACAAATCAATCCCTCCCGCGCTTCGCGACTCCCGCGCTTCCCGAGCTTTGGGCTGGGCAGGGGGTAAATTTAAATTTATTTTCCAACTGCAATTTCCATTACAGTTACCTTGCTATGACTTTTGAGATGTTACTTAAATGGGTTCATTAAGACTAATTTTTTATTAACTAATCTGTTTTAAATTTAAAAATTATTATATTAATAAATTTAGTAAAAAAAAATTACTTAAACTCGCACTTTATAAAAAGACTACTTATTATTTTGTATAATAAATAATAAAGTTATAACATAATTAAATTATATTAATAACTTCGCTTTTTTTAGTTAAAATAAAAAATATCGCCCTTATTTCCCCCAAAATAAATTCCGCCCCAGCGACAGACAGTTAGTTCACCACGAATACACTCTTCACCGTTGCGCTAGTGATCAACGATTACTCGAAATTCCTTCTTCATGCCGCCGAGTTGCAGGCGACAATCCGTCAATTCATTTAATAATTTAACTTTCTTTAATGATTAGCTATTTCCTAAATTACCCAGATTTTAATTAAATAAATAATTAAACATTTTTAAACTATTATCCTTAAAGGCGTAATATCTTACTCCAGCCCAACAGTCCCTCTGCTGCGCAAGCGCAACCGAGAATCTGCAGACTACAGTAAAACTTAATAGCAAAGGGTTAGGTCTTTGCATCACTTTGTAAAAGTTCTTGTGGCACGTCTATAGCCCAGTCCATGAGGACCATAACGACTTGTCTTAGTCCCAAATGAAAATATTTAATAATCATAAATTGTTAAGTCTAAATTAACAACAGGGATTTCGCCCGTTTGTGGAGTTAACCTAACTTCTCACGATACGGGCTGACGACAGCCATGCAACACCTGTAAACGCATTTTCATAAGTAAAAACGATCTATTCACTATTATGTGAAGCTGTGTTTATTTTACAGCTTGACGAACCACCGCTGCAGTGGCTTAGGGTACCCGAGTGTTTGGGGACAGCAGCTGCCATTCTCCACTCGCGAGCAACCCGACCGTACCGATAGCGGGCAATAATAGTCTGCTTTAGCAGGAGCGCTTAAAATATAAAAATGACACAAACTCCTACTTTTTTATTACTACGAAGTCTTTTTTTAGCGGAGCAAAAGAAATAGAATAGCTATAAATAAGTATAGCTTGGATATACAAGGACTGGTAAGGTTTTACGCGGATTATCGTATTAAATAACATGCTTCACTTCGTTTGCTTCGAGGCCGACTAATTTTTTGGTTTCAGTTTTGCAACCGTACTCGCAAGGCGGAATGGTTATCGCGTTAACATCAATGCTAATTTAAAAAACTAACAAGTTACCATTCATCGTTTACAGTGAGAGGTATTTTGGGTATCTAATCCTATTTCCTTTTCCCACCTTCGTGTCTCAGCGTCAATCATTAGTGGATAAAAGCTTACACCTTTTAGTATTCCCCTTAGTCTCTACAGATTTAATCCCTACACCAAGTATTATTCGGTTTAACCTCGTTATGATTCTAGCTTTTAGTAACTTTTTTTTCTGGTCTGTGGAAAAAATTAATTTTTTTAATACAGAAAGCTAACCCAGAATAAAAACTTTTAAAAAGCTGCCTACACACCCTTTACGCCTGTTTATTGTGACTAACGTTTGCGTTCTTGGCCTTACCGAGTCTTCTGGCACCAATTTTGGACAACACTAATAGTATGGGGCATATCATGATTTTCCCCTTACGTTATTACATCATCTTCCGGTCTCCCGAATAATTATAATTTCAGTTAGCTAGTTCACTCTTGCGAGCATTGACTAAGATTCTTGACTGCTGGTAGTTAACACTACTTGGGGCATTTCACTCCCAATGTGGCCATCTGCTCTCTCGAACTTGGCTTCCGATCGTAGGCTTGGATGAGCCGTTACCTCACCAACTACCATTAAACGAAATAAATCGAATCTTACAGCGGAAAATTTCCTTTTTTTAAATAAATAACTTTTTAATTTTTATATATTTTTTCGTTTATTTATATAAAGAATAAACTAAATCAATAACATCCCCTCTCTATGGGGACTATAAGGTATCTGATTTACAATACTCACCTTTACACCTTATTTTTTAATAGAAAAAAAAAAAATTAATTTTTTTAATTTAAATTTATAAATAACGATTCGCATGTCTCAAAACTACTGAAAAACGTTCAATCAGAACCAAAATTAAATTCTTATTGAAATTTAAAAATTAAATTAAATTACTCAGTATGCTGTCCGCCAGCTTGCCCTGCTTGCCCTCCCGGCCGCCCAAAGCTCGCGAAGCGCGGGTAGGGCTCGCTGCGCGGGAGGGAGCGGCGGTGCTCAATCAGGCAGGCGAATAAGTATTAAATAATAACTAATAAGTATTAAGTAATTTTTTTAAATTTTTTATTTTATTTGTTTTTTATAACAATTTTTATTATCTCTTTTAATTTTTTTTAGGGGATATTTTATTTTTAGCGGACAATGGTATTTTTTTTTCTATTTTTTTACCTACCGCTGCTTCCTACCTTCTACAATTTCCAATTCGCAGGGCGCAGTGCGCAGCTGCGAAGCGCATAAAGCAGAACCACCGCTCCGCGCGCTCCGCAAGGCGAGCGCAGTGCGCTGCTGCGAAGCGCATGTACTGCTTGAACTTTGTAAGACTATAAGAGGCTAACCTTCATCTTACGTTTTTAATAATACGAGCCCTTTCAGATTTGAACTGAAATTACTCTAATCGACAATTAGATGCTTTACCAATTAAGCTAAGGGCCCTCCTCAACGCGCGCTGCCTCCTTCGCTAGGGTTGCCTTTTAGCTAACATGCGACAGGGGCAACTCCCCCCCCCCGTCCCCACCCTGACGCTCCCTCCTACTTCGCCGTATTGAAAGTTGGACAAATTTAACTGTCCACCTGCAAGCTACAATTCGACAGGGGGAATAAGGGCTTTTTCAGAAATTTACCTTGCGGATTTTTTATTTTATTACTTAAATTAGCTACTTGTTTTCGTGTTACGCACGCTTCGCGCAATGCGACAATCACGCAGGGAGCCTACGCGCAAGCGCATTACGTGAGCCCACCTGTGCTGCGCGTGCTACGAAGGGCCACCCTGCGGAAGTTAAACCAGTCCAGGTAATCAGGCGACGGCCCGGAACCCCCACCCCTTCGGGGGGGGGGTGCGTGCTAAAGCACTCCTGCTTTAGCATCCTGACGAGCTCCGCACGCGCTTCACGATCGTACCCCCTGCGGAGTCTAGAGGGGGGTGCTACAATCCTGGTACAGGATTACACGGGTTCCCGATTCGGTATGCAGGCCGGGGGGACAAGGGGGTAGTTCGTACCTAGAAACGTTCCGCGAATTTGGAATGCGCTAATTTACCCTCCGATCCTTCCCGCGCTTTGCTGCTGCGCACTACTAGGTTCTGCATATTCATGCGAAGCTGTGACGACCTAACTGAACCTGCAGGGGTACGACCCCTCCTCGCGCTTCGCTCCCTTCGGCCCGCAGCACTGCGCCCTGCGGAGATTGCCATGCGCCTCGCAAACTGCGCACGGTAAAGCAGAGCGAAGGACTCCGCAGGGGACCGATGTCCCCTGCGGTTAAGCTAGCGGTAGGTAAGGGTGTTTTGAAAAAATTTTAAATAAATTTCTCGGAATAGAGAAGATTCGAACTCCTACAGGTACCACCGAGCAATTAGCAATTGCCTTATCTTGCCAATGAATACTATTCCTATTATTTTCTATGAAGCACGCTGCGCGCCACAGGGGGGTGAGGGGTGCCCTTTAGTTCCTGCCTATAAGTGGGGCAGTGGGGATGCCGTATGACTGACCGACACCGCTGCGAGGCAGCCCGGCTCCTATATTACCGTGCAGCGTGAGGTACGGGCGCAGCGCTCCCTTCGCGGCGAACCAGAGCAGCGATTGCGAGGCGAACCCTGCTGCACAGCAAGCAGCGCCTTCGTAGTACAGCTTTCTAGGACACCTGCTTTAGAGGCAGAACACCCCTTCTGAGCTGAGAGTTACCTTCTGCGCACCGCTCCTTCTGTAGAGCTCTTGCAGAAGAAATCACCCCAGCGGAGCGCGCTCACGCATAGGCGGATATATTTAAAGGAAAGATGTAAAAAAAAAGGTATTTACTGGGAAGAAACAAGTAGATAAATTTTTTATTTTTAATGAGTGTGGAGGGTCAGGGGCTATGGTTGGAGCTGCTGTCTGTGCTATGCTAAAGGGGGTAATGGGTTGTAAATTTTAGCGCGTAGCGGTTGCTCCTTCTGCAGCCCTACGGTCGCGAAGCGCGAGAGCTACAGGCGCGAGAAAGCGACACGCATAGTTTCGCTTGCTGGGGCAAGCCAGCGTAGCTGGCCCGCTAAAGCGAAGTACTGCGGCGCGCTTTATTTACTCAAGCAAGGGCTCGTTGCGGAGCTCCCGCCCCCAGCGACTGCTGTGCGCTCCTGTTACCAGAAGCAACGTTGCATACTTAACTGTAAAGAACTAAGAAAGCAATCATTAATGCGAATAATCCTGTGGCTTCTGCTAAAGCGAACCCTAGGATTGCGTACGCAAATAATTGTCCTCTTAATTGAGGGTTTCTAGCTGTAGAAGTAATAAGAGATGCGAAAATTAAACCTATACCTGCTCCGGCTCCAATTAAACCTGAACAAGCTAATCCTGCTCCAATGTATTTTGCTGCTGCTAACATTTTTTTTATTATTTTTTTTTAAGATAGCGTCTAACATATTTTTTTATTTTTAATCAATTTTTTTTCATAAAAATACAATACTCTTTTAAAAAAAATTATTTCTGCTTTAGCATCCGCAGGACTGAGCTTCGTGCTGCTGCTGTTGACGACTAAAGCAGTACCCGCCTTTCATCGCTGCGCTGTCCAGCTACGCAGAATAAGGACCGCGATACTCGCGCTTTGCGCACACCGAAGGGCGCCAGCTGCGCTTCGCGGCCGCTGTGTTAAAGCAGTCCACCGCTCCTGGGTGGAGG